TTGTGTCTTATCCCTCCATTACTTTTCCGAAACAATTTTGTTTTTCCGCCCGCTTTTACGTGTATCTCAATCAATTATATCTTTAGTCTGATTAAAGATAGTCACCTATGCTAAAATTAGAGTATTCATAAAAAATAATTACTTAATGGTCTAAACCTAAGAAATTTTCAAGATTCGAGATAACGTAATATTTTAGGGCTCTTATTACAGTTGAATTTATTACAAAAATACAGTTATTTTGAAATTTTAATATTAAAATATGATACTTTTAAACTTATTTATCAAACTACGATACTTTTTAAAAGTGAATTTAATAATTTCGTTTTTGTTAAAAAGTAGGATAACAACTCCGTTTTTGTTAAAAAATGGATTCAACAACCCCGCTTTTAAGGGAAAGCAAATTTTGGACAATAAGAAATGCGTGTTTTGTAAACACATTTTNAGTTTTTGTTAAAAAATAGATTCAACAACTCCGCTTTTAACGGAAAGCAAATTTTGTACAATAAGAAATGCGTGTTTTGTAAACACATTATGTACGTTTTTTGTGAAAAGCACGTTATTAAACACGCTTTTCATAGTCATTCACCTGNCGTTTTTGTTAAAAAATGGATTCAACAACCCCGCTTTTAAGGGAAAGCAAATTTTGGACAATAAGAAATGCGTGTTTTGTAAACACATTTTGTACGTTTTTTGTGAAAAGCACGTTATTAAACACGCTTTTCATAGTCATTCACCTGACATATTCTTTCGCCCGAGACCCGTTCACTCTTTTACACTCTTTCAACTGGCAGATTCTCTCTTACAAGAAAGAAAATTTTGAATTTTGTCAAGTTATAGCAAAGATTATATGACCATATTCATTCAAAAAAAAAAAAAAAATCTCCTTTTATTTTTGGAAGTTTAATGGGATGAGAAATGTGTGGAAAGACGGCANATTTTGTCAAGTTATAGCAAAGATTATATGACCATATTCATTCAAAAAAAAATAAAAAATCTCCTTTTATTTTTGGAAGTTTAATGGGATGAGAAATGTGTGGAAAGACGGCAAAGTTGTTTCTTGGGGGAGTGGATCCCAAGTCCCTTGTATAAGATTTGATAAATACGTAACTCTCAACGCAGATTCAGTTGTTGGATCATCTCAAGGTTGATGAACAGTATCAGAAAAAAGAAAGAAGAGGCAAGAGGGTTTTCTNGATCATCTCAAGGTTGATGAACAGTATCAGAAAAAAGAAAGAAGAGGCAAGAGGGTTTTCTGGGTAAACCCATTTGTGGGGGTGCTGAAAGTGCACTGCTCACACAGATTCCTGGTTTCCATGGTACTCTTCCTTCCAAGCACTATGCTGGGTAAGTGTCCTTGGCAATATTTGTGTGTTGTAATATTTTTTTGAAATTGTTTATTTGATGGGTTATCATGCTAACATTTTTATTCAAATGGATTTATAATGTATGGGTATGTGACAATTGATGAAAGTCATGGGAAGAAATTGTATTACTACTTTGTTGTTTCTGAAAGAAATCCAACAGAGGATCCAGTAGTTCTGTGGCTCAATGGTGGACCAGGATGCTCGAGCTTGGATGGGTTTGTCTATGAACACGGTATTGATTTGGTTCTTTAAATAATAAGCTTAAAAGCGTGGTTAGTAACCACACTTTTCAACTCATTATTTTTTTATTTAAAACGGGATCACTGATCCCGCTTTTGTTAAAAAACGGGATTGTTAAATACGTTTTTTAATAAAAGCGAAATTATTGATTTCGCTTTTAAAAAATGTCATAGTTTGGTAAATAAGTTTAAAAATATCGTATTTTGTATTAAAATTCCAAAATAACTGTATTGTGGTAATAAATTCTATTACGGTTATGGTATTAAGGGATGAGATTAGTGAAGGAATATGATTTAGGGTGGACATACTTTAACTATAAATTTTACTTTGTCCTCTAATAGATAAAAATAATGTGATATATTTATATTTTTTTACATCATAATTGATGTTTAAAAATTTATTAAACATAAAAGACCTAAGGCCCATATATATATTTTATATAAACAAAAAATAACTAAAATCATTAACCTAACTTAGACAAGAATAGCATTATAAATCACATTGTACTATCTAATCAAACAGATTTTGAAGAAAAATGAAGGAATATACTAATTTTAATAAAAGGATTAGACTTGGGGTCAGTTTTCTGAAATAATAAAAAATGACCAATAACTGTCTACTAATAAGTAAAAAAAACAGCAAGTGGATCCCACTAAAACAAATAACCACTTAGTTATGTAATAAATAACAATTTTCATAATACGAAGTGTGCCCTACATTTTCTTATTGGATGATTATACAAAATATTTACTCCTAATTGATAGCTTAACAAACCAAAAAATTATGATGTGTCTAACTTCTTTGACTTAATTAATTTTGTTTTATCTAATTCATTAGGGTGGATCCAATTAAAATTATCCAAAAAATATATAAAACACATATAAAAAAATTATTTT